TAAACTAGTTCCATTTTGAACCGACTGCGTAGACTAGTCAAGAATAGAAGCTTTGTAAAACTTCATTTCATCCAACTACCAGGTTGAATTCAAGCGGTTGAAAATAATCCATTTTTAAAGGTGAGTCACTTTAAAAAGATGCTTTCATACACTAAGAATCAGCTTTCATTAAATTCAATGGTTCCGTCTCTTCGTATAACTTCTCGACGTTTTCACTAGAAAATGTGATATTCAGTGCACCATAATTTCTCACAGTATTTGAACAGTGAAACAATTTTTAAGGCTATTAACTTTTAGTCAACCAGAGTATTTATCATAGAATTTGTTCGACAGCCGAAACTAGAACTTTCTTTTATATCCCCAGCTCATATAAATTTACTTCCGTCACTTAAATGTTCTGAGAATCCTACAGTATACAGATCAAAAGCACCTAATAGAAAGATGTTTCCAGAGAGTTAGGTGACTTACAATCATTTTACGAGAGATCAACCGCTCCTACCACCCTGCTGTAATAATTTTTCGGATCGTTTCTTTGTCCCACGCTATTGTTTATTTGGATCCTAGTGCATGCATAGTAACCCCTCAAAAGTTCGTAGGATACCTTCAGAAAAAGAAAGAGTAATATGAACAGCAACTATAACACAACTAACAAGAATGTCCTTTTTCTTTTGCCACGTCAAAAAGATACATCAGAAGTCCTGTACAGGACTTTTGGGAAACCTGGGACTAGGGTAACATTTACACGCAAAAATTTACTCACAGATAAACTTGATGCTTTAAGGATTCTTTTGACCAACTGAGAAAATAATTTACTTTACTGAATACTATACAATAGCTGTGATGTCAAGTGTACAGATCAAACTAGCCGACTAGGTCAGCTAGGTTAGCGCAGAATAAGCACCCAGCTTAACTTAGAATGATAGATTCCGACAAGATAAGCAACCAAGAAAAAACAGTCATAACCATGTACAGAAACACACGATAAGGTGGAACAAAGCAGTAATCCTAGAAACTAATAGAAAGGTGGAGGGTGAGGTTGGTCTTCGAATCTCCTGTTGGAAATCAGGCTTTACTTAAGAGATTAATAGTATCAAGTGGTGTAGGAGAACTTTTAGTCGGGAATCAAGTTAAAAAGTTGAATGAAAAGAGTCACACACAAAACTGTCAGAATTTGGTATTTTTGCATGAAATTTATTGCAGTCAAAGCTTTTAATGCATATCACCTTTGTCAGATCGTTTTTTATTCTTTGACTGCAAGCATGAAATCTTTTTAACTTTTAACTAGACATAAGCTTTAAAATTAGGATTTGAAAAAGCAAAAGAAAATATATTTGCAGAGTAAAATGTCATTGTTTTATCTAACAAACAATCATCAGCTTCGCATAACCTTGATTTTACTTGGTTTTACGACTAAGTAACCTACCTTAAGTGTGCTAGAGGAGTGGAAACAAATAGAAAAATTCGGTTTCAACTGTAAGAGAATAGTTTGAACTGACAGAGAGAAAGAGAGGTGAAATATCTCATCATTTAACTATCTGAGATAGCCGTAGTTTGGCAGACTAGTATTTATAATGAGTGATGATTGAAATTCAAATGGAAATTTGGACCGCAGCCAGGTGGTCGCTGGTTTGAATCCGGCCGCGGTCCAAATTTTCATTTTACCTTCAATCACCACTCAGCATAAAATGCCTTAATCAAGATTTATGAGAAATAAAAAGATTTTAAGGAACCTACTGAATCACACTTGAAGTATGCTAATTATTTGTAATTTCAAATGGTTTTGCCTGAAATAACCGCCGTCGTATGCAGATTTCTGTAAAATAAATTGACGGTATGCCGAATAAAGGACATTCTGCGTTGCTCACCGTGAATCAGGGATGCGCAAATACTGCAAATTTCTCATGAAAGTCAATTTCACGCATATCTCCAGCCATTTTGAAACTAACCTGACGTATGATAACTATCTAGAGATATGCACAGCGTGTTAAACAGCTGATATTTTTTTGCCTAACTGCAGTTTATTTCAATCATACAGTAAAGTATGCAATCAAGATGCATCATAAGTCTATAATCGTTTTGTTTTTTGCTGTAATTCTATAAGATGCAATTTAGTCATATCTCCAGTTTACATTTATTGTTTCATATTGCCACAGTAATTCGTGATTTGACGCCTTATTTTAATAGCTAAAAAACTTTAATATTTTGACTGCAATTTAAACCTTTGTCTAATAATGATTTAAACGAGTAATAAAGACTACTCATATTAATTATTTTCTAATATTCACAACTCATCACTCAACTTTATAGATCATACTTTTCTGGTGATATTTGGGTTTCCAGGCTGTGATTCATGTATAGTTTAAAATATGCTCATTCACATTATCACACCATCATTCACCCTTTCCATAATCAAATTATCCCATCTGAAGGTATGGTTTTGGAATGAACTAAACGATTACTTTTATCTGATCATAAAAATTTTATTTAGTAGTTCTATCATCATTCAGTTTAGTGTGTGGTTAAATATATCTTCCACTGCTAAACTTTACCAGTGATTACCACTTTAGTAACAACTTACTTGTAAATATGGAACTTTCAAAGTATGTTTGTTGTTTCATGTAAAATGATTGCTTCATGTGTCACACATTTACCAAAGTGAATTATGTCAGCCAACACTAGACAACCAATGGTGAAGATAATGGAAAATATAAAGGTAATACATAAAAATTGTTGTATTTACAAAAAGCTTAATAACTGATTCATTTTGCTATTTGCATAAAATTCACTATTATTTCACTAGGATAAAGCGATACATAGATTTTTCTCAATTATTACTACTGTTGGGTTTGGAACAGAAAAATACTACTAAACTGGAGGAAAATGTTTAGCTTTGGGGTCACCTCAGCAAAAAGAAAGTGAATATGAAGATGTAAAACAGGTAGGACTTTGTGACTACAAACTTTTAAATTATGGACCTAAAAAGTGCATTTTCAGCTCTGTAATAGAAAATTTAGTAAACTCACGACATTTGGTTTTTTTGAAACATGCAACCAAGTCATTGAAGCTGAAGCATTAGCGACCCAAAAATTCAGATCATCACTATGTGTTCCCGAGGAGGACGTACTACCTCTTTCATTGAGATGGCCATTGTCAATTACCGATTACTCTAAATAACCGAGATATGATAACTATTTTTATTTTGTAATCGCTTGGTTTATTTAACCAGCATGCAGCTTTCCTTTTGTAATGCAACCTAAATAAACCTCTGACCAGGAGTTTTTTTTTAAATATTCTATCCTTTTTACTGTATATTCACGAATGTAAAGCTAAGAGAATGATTTAGTCGAAAAGGACGGCTTTTCTTCTCCTGCTGTTTCCCTAAGTTTGAATGGGGTTGTTTTGATATTTGAAAAGTTGAAATACGGAACCTCTCTTTATTCTTTGCCTTTTGAGTGACCACATTAATTTGAGTACTGTGCCTTAGTTATATAACCCATAGCATGTATATGAGTGTTTAAACCTTTATTCACCTGATGAAAAACATGAAAAGCTGTTTAAGCAATTATTCTATCTTATCACACACAGAGAGTTTCCAGTATCAGACCCTTTGGTCTCAGCTAGAAAGCGTTGTGACTGGTAAGTATTGTATCGTGATCATGAAACAAGAAGACCTGCCATTTAGATGGTCTTTGATTAATATCAAGATAAAAAGCATATGACATTGACAATCGTTTGTCTAATTAACCGACTAATTTGTATCAAACAGATCGTAATATTTACCACTGTGCGCTTCTTTCCAAAATAAAATCTTGATGACTAATTCTATATCATTTAGTTATATTCATCACCATAGAGTCGAATTCCCGATGCCTTTATGATTATTTTTCACTATTATGCCTCCCACTGATTTCTGTGAAAGAAAGAAAAAGCTGGACAGTCATACTACTGCCTACACGGAAAAAACCCCTGAATTTCAGCAAAAATGTGTCTCAGTTGAACTGTTGGTTTAATTTCATAAATTTCAACCGAAACTACTGTTAAAGTAGTTTGAATAACCAACAGAAGCTTGATAAAATGCCTATGATGAAGAAAAGGTTAGTCCAAAATAGTGGTCCTAGAAATCTAACTGAAAACTTTAGTATACTTTGCGTAAAAGCGAAGTTCTGTTAGTCGCATTGCCTTTATATTTACTATAGGTTAGACAAAAATCTCTGATCTCAAACCTGTGAATATATATGTATATACATTGAAAAACAAGTAGGCTTTATCTTATTTAATTAATCTACCCTTTCCTCTCATTTTGAGTTTATTAATAATATACTAGTTTTCACCTTCTTCTAGGCGTATCTTGTGATGAACGATTTAAATGGAAAGCTGTTACAAGAAGAAAAATCCCTAAATCTATGATTTTGAGTAGTTAATTTATTTCTCAAATCTTAACTGTGATTTTTTCTAAGCTTCTAAATATCAAAAATATATTGAAAAATATTGACTATCCTACTTATGCTACACTAAGATTAGAATACAATTAAGACAATACTGTATCACTGCGACACATGTAATAGACAGACTGAAGTTGAGTTATGCCAGAGCTTTTAGTTACTGTGAAAAGTAATTTATATTGCATTATAGTATAGTAAGCTGTGTATTATAATGACTACGTACAAATCACAAATAAACATATTTGAATAGTTATTTCCCTACTGTTATGCTTTCATCTTCAAGAATTGTTGATAACAAGAGATAACCTCATCGAGTTTTGAAAATGTCTTGATTACCATTTAAATACTTCTCGTGAAAAGGAAAAAATTAAAAAACTAGGCTTATGAACAAAAGTGCTATAAGTAACACATTAATTACTAATGGTTCATTGTTACCTTAACCAACAGTGTCCAAATGTTGTGAAAATCATCATTTACGTAACAAACTAGTACAGAGCCTTTGCATACAATAAAAGGTTTTGAAGGAGAGAATAACAGAAATTGTCTAAGGTAACTAACCTGTAGGCCTAAAATCAATGTTGCTTTACGATGAATAGCAAATATTCCAATTACTCCTAGGGAGATCGATGCAATACAGAACAGTACATTCCAGATTATTATTGCATAGCTTATTGTAATCTTTTGTAATGCAATGAACATTTTCAACCAAAGTGGATAGGTGATAGCAGATAAAACAACCACTAAGATTGATAGACTAAAGAATATTAAAGTTATATTTAGAACAATCGTTGTAGTCTTCAGCCTTTGCATTTGTGAACGAAATACAGATCGTCTGGATCGCAGTTTTTGTAACAATCTTGATGTCCTCTCCATGGATATTTTGGCACAGATTTATCAAAATTTTAATTCTTTATTTATTTTTTATCATAGAGAATATGCTTTAAAGAGTTTTGTTATTTGCTTGAGGGATAACGCTTTCGATAATCATTCTAGAATCTGAGGAAACATTTAGTTGCTTAGAGCTATTTTTTAGATTGATTTGATTGGTTCAGTACATCTGTCGTCATTAGTGACCAAATAAACCAATCACGTCAGTAAACAGTTGATTTTCATCCCTTTAACTTCGCTTAGAGGATTCTTTAATAATCATTGAATAGCTATGGCTGTTTTTATAGTAAATGTACAATATTATCATATATCTACGCTATACATCTATAGTATAATGTTTCTGCTCTTTGGTCATCAGGTTGTAATAAAACAGGAAATTAATTCATACCGTAATCCACAGATGATGCTTGGGTCACTAAAATCCTAATCTGATTAGAACGAAGTAACTAAAGTAGTTTCAAGCATGTTAACCAGTTGATGTTCGCTACTTATTTGACCAACCAAGGAAAGAATCTGTTGGTTATTTACTTGAATCTCCTTTAAAGCAGTTGTATGTTCTTACTCGTATTACTGTTTTTCTTATATAGACGAAGACAAATTATGACCAGTATTGAAATGCAGTGGAATTTCTGGAGGAAATTATTGAGAGTTAGTTGCATATTTGCATATGAGAAAAAAAATTCAAGTACAACACATGTGACCGGTGAGACTACGAATATCTTACTTCTGAAAGTAGCTTATTCGTCATTGTGTGAAATGAGGAATTTACTAACACATGAGTATTTTTATCTGATGTAAACCGTCAAATCATTATGTAAAAAAATGTGAAGTTAGAAACAGTCAGCGTCAAAATCAAAGATTAGGCGCGTGTTACAGAAGACCGTGTTGCTTGCTTGCTTTGTTTTATAACACTATAGAATTTCCAACTGAAATGACAGACTTAATTGTTTTTCCCTTCAATCTAACCTCATTTGTTTGATCTGGTCTTTAGACTAATACCGTACTTACTGCCTACAAATAGTGATGCAAGAAACCATTCATTGCGTCTCAATCAATGTTCTTTCAGTGAGCTAGATTTTCATTTTGTTTTTTAAGCCTGAAGCGATTCCATGAAATTTTGGTGACCCGATGCATTGACTTAACAGCCAAGTACTATTTTAAGGCTGTTTAAGCACTCAAAGTACTAAAAGGTGAAGAACGTAGTTTTGAACATGTTGACTATGAAAATATTAGGACTTCCTAATTTTTATTCCCAATTACTTCATGCTGCTTCAATGTGTACTCATATAAGCTACTTCGATTACTTCCCATGATTGCTAACGATTATGAAGTAACATTGCAAGTTACACATTCCACTTCAACATCTAGGATTGTAGGTCACATCTGTAATTTTAATAACTGAACAATCAACAAACGACGCAGACAGTTTCTCCCCCTAGTCGTTTCATGATGACTAATGTGCATTATGCAGATCTATTGATTTGATATGATTATGAGTATTTAATTTTACCCGAAACGTCACCCAGCAAACAGTACTGTATCATAATGTGGTATATCAAATATATTAACCCAACGCGAAATCATGTGTACAAACAAGATTATATCTCTATTTTGATAAGTTCTAAGTAACCTGTAGACTTTAGCAATCTCTTCCACTACGTTGTGCAATAACGTCTCTTTCATTGAGGATAAAGATGATGAAAAGACTTGTATATTATTTGTTATATTGACTGTCCAGGTCCGCCTTATCTTCCAGTAATATATGACATTCGTAATTAAGACTAACTGAAGAAAAGGAATAGGTGAGCCGGTGTATTACGAGATCGCTACGAACAAATGCGATTGGTGACGATTAAAAATAAAAAGAAGACACAAAGCTATCCTCAATTTTTATCAAGCCTAAGATAAAATAAAATATTCTATGACACATCACTTCTAAATGTGTGATAATTATTCGTCTGCAGCATGACTTCTGATGCCTTAAACCAAGTATGTAAAATGCATATCCATTTGTATAACTAGTGAGGAATTTGAGAAGTTTGATTTAGAAGGAACAATTTTCAAATCAGTGAGTTGACGTATGATAAGTAGAGCAACTCAGGTGTTATTTATTGGTAATAGTAGCTTCCCTATGTTATACCTAGCTAAACAAGCATTCTAGCTTCTACGAAATCAGCTGCAATAACTGTAGTCAGCACAACAGTGGATAAAGTGATCCCCTTCTTCGCCTTCAACTACATGAGCAACAATGGCTGTTAAACGTCACGACATTTCATCACTCACTTCAATGCACGTGGATAATTGTGGACATGAATTCAATTTCGACAATGTAGAAATTTTGAACAAAGGAAACAAAGGATATCAGAGAATTCCTAGAAGCTTGAAATTCAGGTCAGTCAGCAATCGACAGATGTATCGATATTATTTATTATACATTCTTTGTCCCTTGGGGCTTCAGCAGCACGTCTCCAATGCACTATGTTCTCTGAAATCTGTTGAACCTCACACCACAGCAGCCCACAAGCTCTCATTCCCTCCTCGCACGATCTCCTCCATGTCACCCTCGACTTGGACGCCCAACTCGTCGCTTCCCATCTGGGTTCCACTCGAGCAACTGGCCTGACGCGTGATGTCCTTGAATAGTCTTCTCAGTGCATGCCCAATCCATCTCCACCTCATTCTGCATATTTGTTCAGCGATAGCTTCTTGGATGGTTCGTTAACAGCCAGAGTTTATTGTTGCTCATTCTTTCTGGCAATCCATCTGATCTTCAGTAACGAGCCAGTGTAGACAGTTGTTGATGAATGTCTGTAGTTTATTGGAAATCCCTTTCGTGAAGCACCAAGTCTCTGAACCACACAGAAGCACTGACTTCACATTAGTGTTGGAAATCCCTATCTTCTTCCACATGCTGAGTGCAGAAGACTTCTACACTGGTTTCAGGTTAATGAACGCCTGTCTTGATTCTCCGATCATGGCTATTCGACGCTCTCGTCTGTGTCGCCGCCTGTAGTTGAAACAGTGCTGCCTAGGCAGATAGTTGAAGGAGTCTACTTCATCCAATTTCTCCCGTTGATGGTGATTGCAGCTTGTTGTTGGTGGTGGTGTTGGTAGGGTATCTTCATCACTTCTGTCTTCTCTATGTTCACTTGAAGTCCAGTCTTCGCTGCTTCACCGCTTCTGTCAACTTGTTAGTTTTCTCCTGTAGGTATTCAAGTTTGTGTGACAGTAGACATAAGTCATCATTGGCGAAATCTTAATATTCTAGGATGTTTTCCCCGCTCCAGCGTATTCCACTCTTCTCGCTCCTCACTGTTTGTTGCATGATCCAGTCCACCATAATCAGGAAGATCATGGGTGATAGTAGACAGCATGTTTTACTCCTGTCTTCACTTTTACTCCATATGCGTCACTGAGATTCCTATTGCAAATTACTTGATATGTGACATCTTCATATAGTTGTTGAATGAGATTGGGAATGTTTTGTGGTATTGTGGTAGTGTTGAAGCAGTTGCCTGGCAAATTACTTGTCGGTCGACACTGTCGAAGGCCTTCTCAAAAAGTTGGTGAAGCTGAGGTAGAGGGTTGACTGCCATTCTATACTCTGTTCTATGATGATGTGAAGCGTTGCAATTTGGTCTGCACATGATTTGTACTTCGTGAATACAGCCTGCCTGTTCTGGTCGTAGTTTTGAATCCAGTGCATCTTTTAGTCTCTCCAGGATGATGCGGCTAAATAATTTGCTTGTGGTGGACAGGAGAGTGATCCCGTGCCAGTTCTTGCCAAAAACACTGAGGTCTCCCTTCTTTGGGAGTTTGACAAGGTAACCCTTCTTCCAATCAATAACCAGATACCTTCCCTTCCTTCCAGACCTTCTGCAATAGTCGTGTGAGCATGTTCACTGTTGTCCCTGCATCTGTCCCCAGTGCTTATTACGGAAGTCCATCTGGTCTTGCTGCTTTCCCGCATTTCAGTAGAATAATGGTGCTCAGAACCTTTGTTGGAGGATTTATGTTCACTTGTGGTTCTGTGGCTGGGCTGCAGGTGGTATTTCTGGAAAAAGTGCAGGTGGTGGTGCTAGTGGTCGATTCAAGACCTTTTAGAAGTGGTCTACCCATCGTTTCCCTTGTTTCTCTTCTTTCGCAATTCACTTTTCGTCATCATCTTTTATTGGTTACGTCTGTGTTGATCTCTTCCCTCCCAGATAGTAACATAGTTATTTGATACAATGTTGTCAGGTCTCTCCTACCAGCCGGCAGCCTGTTCTGCTTCACTTGTCAGTGTTTCGTAGAAGTGTCTTTTGTCTTTGCGAGCACTCTTCTTCACTTCTTTGTCCAGCGTAGTGTTTTATACATTGTACTCAGTACCTCTTGTTGTTGAGCATCCTTGCACTGCACTGGTTCATCTTCTGCTTCACCATCCTCCTCTCCCTGCTCTATCAGCTTCCATGTGTCTGTCGAGATCCACTCCTTATCTTCTTACCTCTTCCTTCCCAATAGGGCTGTACAGGTTTCTTTCCACATAGCTTTCAGAGAGTTCCAGTGTTCTTCCACACAGGTTTCTTCAGGGATGTTTCTTGATATCTCCCATTTTGTCTTGATGGCTGACGTGAAGATTTCCTTTGTAGTTTCGTCCTCCAGCTTCTGTTCTGGATGTTCAACTTGAACTGTGGTCTATCACCAGCTACCTTGAAGGCTTTCAACCTGACTTGGAAGGTTCCTTGCACTAGATAGTGGTGTGGGTTGTCTGAGCCTACATCTGCTCCCCTTCTTGATCTCGTATCTAGTGGGCTGACTGCGTCTCCACTTTCTTGAGAGTGAGATAAAGTCAGTCTGATTTTTAGTGTGTCCTAGTGTCTGATGAAATCCATGTCGCCCGCTTTGTGGATATCCTTGTGCTTGAACACACAACCTCCAATCACCAAATCGTTGAATGCACAGAATTCTGCAAACAATTCTTCATTCTTGTTCATCACCTCACCAAG